GGCGCAGTTTTACTTCTTTATCAGCCTGAATCTCAAGCCGCCGGATTTCAAGCCGCAGATCAAAATCAGCTCGTCGAGCGTCAGCTCGATCCTCCGCCTCCATGCGTATTCGAGCAAGACGAACCTTTACGTGCGCGCTCTCACCAGAGCCCAGTGCAGGCGGGGAAAATGGCTCAAACGGGGGTAGGCCTGTTTTAGCCTCTGCCTCAGCGTCCGCCTCAACAAGCTTAAACTCCTCATCGCCCGCCTCCGCGCGTTCACGTGTGGTTATTTCTTCACTGATTTGATCTGCTTCTCTAACCGACTCGGGCAAACTCAAAACATTTAATTCTGAAAGACCGTCTAAAATGACAGTTCTAATCTCTTTTTTCAACGACTGCCGACGAACTGAGATTTGGAAGTGTTCAGCTATTGCCAAGAGATCATCTTTACGACATTTATCAAAAATGTCTAACGACGGGTTCTCAATAAATCTATGTACATTCGAAGACATCACGAAGCCTACCAACAAAACACTAAACCACATAAAGCTCAATGCTACAATACTGACAACACTAGTCACTTGAGTCCCTCCACCACAGACACTCCCAGAGTAAAACAAGGGATTATGCTAACTACCGGAAACTTCCTCAATAGTGAGAAAATATCCCGGACGAGCCCCCAAATTATGTTACGTCCTCAGATGGCATAGAGGTATGAGGAGGACGTAAGTTAATTAATAAAATTGAAAACAAACTCCTATAGTTTTGATCTCTGGGGAATAAGTTACTGTGGGTGAATGACGCCAAGACAACAAACTACTGCAAGCAGGTGGTTCGCTTTATTTCCAACACGAACGTTATAGTTTACATAGATAAAAACAAACAAACTTAATAACAGCTATAGACACAAAAACATTGAAAAATAAGGATTGAAATAAGCCACAGAGAGAAAGAAAATGAGCGGTGCTAAACAAACAAAATAACAAAACCAAAACACACTAACTTAGCCCCACTCTCTAAACTCACTGAAAACAAAACCAGAAAATAAAGAATTCTTCAGCGCTTAACACGCCATAACTAAACTTCACTAGCTACCCAAACAAAAATTACACAGTTGCACACGCTCCTTCCCTAGTGTGTCTAACAAGTATAACCCTACGTGTATGTAAGATGTAGGTCACGTGACGTACTTTCCTTTCCTCTGCTCTCCGGGCTGGTGCCGACAAAAAGTCCTCTCGTAAGAAAACACAATCAAACAAGGACGCAAGCGAACCACCACAAAGTCAGTATTTCTCAACAACAGTAGCATGAGCCAACAAACACTCCAAAAGTTCCTCCTCTTCCGATCTTCGGAGTGCCTTAAATCCTGAACCACAGCCGATGATTGGTGGTCTCCGACCAATAGCAGCACCTACAAACTCAAGGATAGCAGAGAGCGGGAAAACAGAAAGAAACTAACAGCAGAAGGGAGAAATGCAGCAACCAATAAAGTAAAAGGGAGGGACAAAAATGCTAGCACGTAACAGAAACTGAATGAAAATTAATTGAAATGCATTACACTGTCACCTCTGATAACAGATCACTCTAAATTGTAATTTAGACACATGCATTTTCTGTAAAGCGGCTTTGAAACGATATGTATTGTGAAAAATGCTATACAAATAAATGTGAATTAAATTAAATATAGGCTACTGGGGGGCGGGATATATACGCGTTTGCCGCGAACGTCTTCCGGCAAGTTGAAAAATTTGAACTCGAGCGGAAGATTCAAGCGTCTAACTAGACGCGATAGACGCATATTTGACGCTCTATTCGCGTTCGGTGTGAACACACTACTCGTGTATTCTGTGTGCTTCTAAGTGCCTTATCAGATTTACCGTGTTACCGGTCTTGGCAGCAATTATCTTGTCGAAATACTGCATCGCGTGCTTCTGGCATCGAGTCTGGCACATAGGTACACTTTGGATCATTTCCACATATTTTCTATCTATCTGGGTTGGGACGCTTACACACACGCACACACACACACACACACACACACACACACACACTACAGCCTCACGTGCGACGAGCCACGTCTCTGGGCAGCCGCGTAAACTAGTGTTTTTTCCACCACAGCCAATCATGCTGCATGATTATTGTTTCACTGACGTTGACGAGATTAACCACTTAGGTACCGAAAAACAAGACATGTTTCGATACTCGGTAGTATCGAGGCAATTCGGTCTGTACCTAAAAAGTACCGAACTCGGTACCCAGCCCTGTTTGTAAGAGATGATTGCGTTCACTCGCCTCAGCTGCTTAAACTGAGGCGCCTATAGTGATCTGTCACGCCACATTAAAGAGCGTCAAAACTGCATTTATTGTTTGAATTTCATGATAAAATTTACATAATTTGAATAATGATACTTTGTTTCTTATTGAAAAAAAAAAAAAATGTGGAGCTTATTGTGATTATTAGTGGTTAAAGGTGGTGGTTAAGTAAGGGATAATGTACATCCAGCCAGTTGTTATCAGAAAAAACACTGAATTGAGCCATCACCTGTTGCATCAGCCTGAAGGGCATTTAAGTAAGTTCAGTGATGGTATATTTTTGTTGTTCTAGCAATGTGGCATGTGAATAGGCATGGGAGGATTACGGTTTCACGATAAACCACGAAAAAATATACTGACGGTCAGTATTATCGTTTAAAATTTAATTATCATTAAAACCGTGTTTGATTATCGCGATTTTAACAACTCACTGTAAATCCTGTCCAGCCAGCAACAGTCTGACGCAGGCGCAGCGCGGAAAGTTTTTTTTTTATTCGAGAAGGAATGGCGGAAGGCAGTGACCGTGCTCGGGAGATTTTTCAGCCTTTTAAGAGGACCAAATCTGAGTTGTGGTCATATTTTGGCTTTTACAATAGTCCTGAGGGAAACTTGATCGAGGATGGTCACCCTGTCTGCAGAACAAAAAGTCGCTGCAACAGAAACACTTCAAATCTGCCGAGTCGTCTTGTGTGACCATCACCCAATGTTGTACATTGTCAGTTGTCCAACATTATGGAATTCACTGCCACTTTCACTTCGAAATATTTCATCAGTGACTGCTTTCAAGACACAGTTAAAAAACATATCTGTTTAACATGTACTTCGTCTAAATGTGATTATATGTGTCCTTTGTGATTGTAAAGTTGTGCGTCAGTGTTAAATGTATTATAAAGGTACCATGTAAAGCGACCTTGAGCTTCGGAAAGGCGCTATATAAATAAAACTTCTTCTTCTTCTTCTTCTTCTTCTTCTTGTATAGCGAACGCAAGGCAAGTTAACTTTGACCTCAATACCAAAACTACATCTGGAAAATAATTGGGCACAAAATGTTGTTTTGAGTTGAAATATTTTATGTCACTCACTTGAAATAGACGTGAAGCTTCCGCAAAGAAAAGTTCACAGCAAGTGGCTTTGAGCCAAAGACGAACAAACAACTTCAAACAAGACTACTATTAAGAGTGACATTTTAAGGGATAGTAATGTACAGATTCATTGTACACTTATTACACCGATTTTTTTTTCCACATAATTACAGGGACATATTGAATTGAGTTTAATGTTTTAAATCTTACCTGTTTGTACAGCGTACAAAACAATCGTCCAGACAAGATGATCACAACAATATTATCAAACTCTGTAAACAATAAATCAACTCTGATTTCATTTTCAATACAATCAAAAACGGGAGACGCAAGACGGCAAGTCGTGAATGAAATGAAACAAGAGCGCACGTCCGTTGTGATACATGGATGTGCGCTGTGTAATAATGCGTTGCTATTGACGACGGTCATTATAAAGAAGGAAATGCCACAGAATAGAATCTTGCTTAAAAAACTGCATAGAGCTGCTTGTTTTATTTGTTGTTTGTTGATTTTCAAATATAAAACTTGTTGAAATGTTTTCAGTGTGAGCATCAGTTCTTTGAACACTTTCATCTATTTTAACAAAACCGTGATAATATTGATAATCACGATAATTTTGGACACTATAATCGAGATATGAAATTTTCATACCGTCCCATTCCTACCTGTGAAGTTTAACTGATCATCGATCACAACTTCAAGTTTCACAGCTGTCCTGGATGGAATTATATGTTTGAAGAACATAGCTAAATGGAGAAGTTGTGATGAAGTGTTGGGTTGGCTGTGACCACAAGCAGTTCTGTCTTCGCTGAAGGCGGTGTTCCTTCATCCAGCAAAGCAGGCTGAGTCGCGAGTAGCTACTGTCGGATCATCTGGCTGGATTGAGAGGCAAGAGTTGTGTGTCATCAACATAGCAGTGATAGGAAAAACGTTTAGAAATGGAAAAATGTTGGAAAAGTGATAGGAAAAATGTTTAGAAATGACAGATTGTGATGACATGTAGAAGGAGAAGTGTGATAGGAAAAATGTTTAGAAATGACAGATTGTGATGACATGTAGAAGGAGAAGTGGTCTAAGTACAGAGCCCTGTGGCATCCCAGTAGCTAAATGTTGCGACTTAGACAACTCACCCCTCTACGACAACCTGGTGTGCGGTTCCTGAGATGCCCTTCGTCATGAGGGTTGACAAAAGGTTTTGGTGATTAACTGTCAAAAGCAGCAGACCGAGTACTGAGAATTTGGAATACAATACTACATACAAATTATTACTAAATTTCACAAAATGATATTTTATTCTACTTTTTAATCCTACAAATAAAAATATTTTAAAAATTAAACAAATTTCGTAATCACTGTGTAAGGTTAGCTACATACATTGTACCTCCCCTGCCCTGAAATTGTTTTTTAAATCGACCTCTGAATGTAAGAGCAACATAACAATTAGCTAGATTAGTTAAATGGTTTCTATATGACTATTTGAGCAAACATTTCAGCCTGAATAATTCAGATGAGCATCTGCTAAATGAGCAACAGTGACCACAATTCACACCTTCAGTCAGTGAAGCCGCTCCCACAGCCATTCATGAGAGTTTAAATGCCGGGGAATATTTCCATCTTCCCACAGGAGAAGAAGCAAGCAGGAGAAATTACTCCTGGAGAAACTACTGACATACTATTGTAAGGATGGAGGAAGAACCCTGCAGAATAAAAGATGAAGATACAGAGGAACAAACAGGTTGGTGTTTTCCTATATTCTCTTTAATGCCTGATGAGGGACATTAAGATCAAAACTGGCATTCAATACATCTAATTCTAGATACTAGTAGACTCAGTAGTAAACTGGATTTGTGATAAAAAAAGAATGAACTTTATTTCTTTGTGTTTCTCATTTGTCGAATATGTTGATTTTAGACATGAAAGTGAATGAAGACAAACACCATAATTTCATAAATCAAGATGGGAAACTGATATATGAAAATGAAGACAAATATTATCTGTTTCCAGAACCTCATTTCAAAAATGAAGATGGAAATGCTGTCGTTTTAAAGACTGAAGAGAATTTCACTCAGAAACAAGATGGAAAATCTGGAGTCAAAGGATATTCCACCTGCTCTGAGTGTGGAATGTTTTACATGCATAAATCAGACCTTAAGAGACACATGAGAATTCACAATGGAGAAAATCTGTTCACATGCACTCAGTGTGGAAAAAGTTTCAGTCGCAAAGGAAACCTTAATGAGCACATGAGAATTCATTCTGGAGAAAATCCGGTCACATGCACTCAGTGTGGAAAGAGTTTCAGTCGCAAAGGAAACCTTAATGAGCACATGAGAATTCACTCTGGAGAAAAACCGTTCACATGCACTCAGTGTGGAAAGAGTTTCACATCCAAAAGCTTTCTCAACAATCATCTGCGCTCTCACTCTGGTGTGAGATCATTCAGCTGTGATCAGTGTGATAAAACGTTCGTTTTGGCATCAAGCTTAAAAACACACCTTAAAATTCATACTGGTGTAAAACCTAATTTTTGTTCTTATTGTGGAAAATGTTTTACAAGACTGCACAATTTAAAAGAGCATGAGCGTATCCATACTGGTGTGAGACCTCATGTTTGCTCTGACTGTGGGAAGAGCTTCACTACATCAGGCGCAATAAAACAACACCAGAGAATTCATACTGGAGAGAAATCGTACGAGTGCTCACACTGTGGAAAGAGTTTCAGTCGGTCAGAATCGTTGAAAATTCATGAGAGAGTTCATACTGGAGAGAAACCGTACGAGTGCTCACACTGTGGAAAGAGTTTCGCTCAGTCAGGAAACCTGAAAGATCATGAGAGAGTTCATACTGGAGAGAAGCCGCACCAGTGCTCTTCATGTGGGAAGAGTTTCACCAATTTATCTAATATGCAGACTCATATGAAAAAGCGTTGCCTGAATTTGTCTAATGAGCAAATGTTTATGATCAGATCCATTACTTACAAATAATACACTTACAAGTAAATAATTTGACATTCAGATGAATCAAAAGCTGGATAATTTGCTAAAATTAGTAGTGAAGTTTGATTGTTTGACAAGGGGAACCTTTGGGGGAAGGTCAAAATAATAGTTTAGAAAACTAGTGTGTTGCCATAAAATAATATGTGAAGGGATATGATTTAGGAAGGGATGTGTTTTGTTTCTTTGTGGAGCTCAGTTATTTTCATTAATTATGCATTCGAGGCATTTGTGTACAAGTGGCAACAATAGTCTATTAAATCATAATCCATATTTCAAACAACTTGTTTTAGCTGTTTGGATGTGATGCATTAAGATATTGAAGACTTTTTTGGGGATTGAAATCACTCTGCACAATGTGAACATATACAATATCTCACAAATGTGAGTACACCCCTCACATTTCAGCAAACATTTTAGTATATCTTTTCAAGGGACAATACTATAGAAATTAAACTTGGATAAATTTTAGAGTAGTCAATGTGCTGCTTGTATAGCAGTATATATTTACTGTCCTTTGAAAATAACTCAACATACAGCCATTATTGTCAAAAGTGCTGGCAACAAAAGTGAGTACACCCTAAGTGAACATGTCAAAACTGTGTCCAAAGTGTCAATATTTTGTGTGAGCACCATTGTTATCTAGCACTGCCTTAATCCTCCTAGGCATGGAATTCACCAGAGCTGCACAGGTTGTTGCTGGGATCCTCTTCCACTCCTCCATAATGACATCATGGAGCTGCTGGATGTTAGACACATGACACTTCTCCACCTTCCGCTTGAGGATGCCCCACAGGTGCTCAATAGGTTTCAGGTCTGGAGACATACTTGGCCACTCCATCACCTTCAACTTCCTCAGCAAGGCAGTTGTCATCTTGGCGGTGTGTTTGGGGTCGTTATCATGCCGTTTGGCCCAGTTTCTGAAGGGAGGGCATCATGTTCTGCCTCAGAATGTCACAGTACATGTTGGAATCCATGTTTCCCTCAATGAAGCTCAGCTCCCCAGAACCAGCAGCACTCATGCAGCCCCAGAACATGATTCTACCACCACCATCCTTGACTGTAGGCAAGACACAATTTTCTTGGTACTCCTTACCAGGGCGCCGCCACAGATGCTGGACACAATCTGAGCCAAACAAGTTTATCTTAGTCTCATCAGGCCACAGGACATGGTTCCAGTAATTCATGCTCTTGGACAGGTTGCTTTCAGCAAACTGTTTGCGGGCTTTCTTGTGAGCCAGCTTCAGAAGAAGCTTCCTTCTGGGATGACGGCCATGCAAACTGACTTGTTGCAGTGTGTGGCGTATGGTTTGAGCACTAACAAGCTGACCTTCCGCTTCTGCAACCTCTAAAGCAATGGTGGCAGCACTCATGCGACTGTTTTTTGAAGCCAGCTTCTGCATCTGACGCACAGCACGAGGACTCAGCTTCTTTGATTGATCCTTGCGAGGCCTGTTACAAGTGGAATCCGTCTTGGAAAACCTCTTTATGACCCTGGCCTGTACTGTAACTCAGTTTTAGGGTGTTACCAATCTTCTTATAGCCTAGGTCAACTTTGTGGAGACCAACAATTCTAATTCTCAAATCCTTTAGAGAGTTATTTGCCATGAGGTGCCATGTTGAACATCCAGTGGTCAGTATCAGAGAATTGTACTCAAAGCACAAATTGTAACTGCTCTGATACATGATACACAAATTTGTATGGTCCTGTCAAGCAGACAAAAACATGAAAATGATGAAGAGGACATATGTCTTTGCATGGTTAAACGACGTGCAGCTATTGTCATTTAGGGTGTACTCACTTTTGTTGATCTGGCCTACCATCGAAGCTCATCGAGTTTCAAATATCATTTAAAAGCAAAACACATCACAGGTTCTACTAGCAAACTGACGAGTCGTGTGCAACAACCCACACTGGATCAGTGTATACGGCGTGTGAGTAGACAAACGTCAGGCAGGCTTACTACTTCCATAGCAAAGTGGATTGCCAAGGACTGCCGTCCAGTCAACATCGTTGCTGACCAGGGCTTGAAAGAAGTGATCAGGATTGTCACTTCCGACCCATCGTTCGAGCTGCCGTCAAGATCAACAATCATGCGAACTGTACATTAACGAAAAGAAATGCAAAGTAGAGCTGCTATCACAAACAAAGAGTGTTGCTTTGACTGGGGACCACTGGACATCAGTAAGCCAGCATAATTACTTGGGTACAACTGCGCATCTCATCGATAAAGACTGGGACATGCATTCATTTGCATTAACTGCTTAAATGCATTTTGCTGAGGCCTGCGCCAAACAGTTTATACAAGTAGCTAAGGAGTGGGAGATAGAGAGCAAAATCGTTACTGTTGGTACGGACAGCTCAAGAAACATGATTGCTGCATCTAGATTGCTTCCTTTCGAGCATATGCCTTGTATAGCACACATTATACAGAGGGCAATCGTCATGGCTCTTCATGAAGGCGGCTTTGATGACGCTGTAGTGAAATGTCGTAAATTAGTCTGACATTTCAAACATCGCCTGTCTAATATGATAGACCTGAAAGCACAGCAAATTGGTCATGGCTTGGGCGAAGAGTCTCTAGTGCATGACGTTCTCACAAGGTGGCATTCCACCCTCGAGTTGGTCAGCCGGATACTACGCAACAAAGACCCCCTGATGGCAAGTTACATTGGCTCATCAAAACCACAAGCTATCCCTTCTAACATCTGCAGAGTTTTATAAGCTTGCCAGGCTGGAGAAACTACTGGAACCATGCAGGTTGGTACTTCAGTTTATTTGATGATATGTTCTTTTTAGCCAGTATTTGTTGATTTTTATGACTGCTATCAAAACAAGTTCTGCATATTTAAAATAGCTCATGTCAAATGCAGCATGTGTATGAGAGAGACCAAATAAGTAGCCTATAGCAGGAGAGAGAATAACACTTTACAATAAGGTTCTATTCATTAATGTTGTTGTGAGTAATGTTAACTAAGTAACTACAGTAATCAAATACTAGCAAACTATTGTTTAGTGTTTATTAATCTTTGTTTATAGTTTAGAAAAAAATAACTAATACTAGTAACATTAAAAAAAATGAACTAAGAAGACCTAATGATAGGTCATTGTTAGCCAATGCAATCTATTAATTGGATGTGTGTTTATTATTTAGATATGTCATGGAACTTCTTGGGGGTGAAAAATATGTTTCCAGTTCTGTTGTGTTACCTGCACTTTGCCACTTGGTCCTGAAGATGGCTGTCACAGAAGACGACCCTGCTTATGTTGTGTGCTTTAAGGATGCATTCAAAGAGGATTTGACAAAGTGCAAAGAAAACACAAACATTGCTTGGCTCAAAATTGCAACAGCTCTTGATCCCAGATTCAAACACCTGAAATGTATTCCTAAAGCAGAAAGAGCTGAAGTTTGGGAAACATTATACAAGATGCTAAAAGAGGAGGAACTGTCTCCACATTCCTCAGATGCAGAATCAGAGCCACAAAAGAAGAAAATTGGTCTCCTCTTGATGGGCTCTGATACGGAGTCAGATAATGAAACATCACTGGAATCCAGCCCTCTTGCTAGATACAGAGCAGAGCCTAGCATAAGCCTTGAACAATGGTCTGCACACAGCAGAAGTCATGACAAGCTGGCGACCATTGCAAGTGTAGCAGGATGCAGCTGTCTGGCTCAAGCCTCCCCTATTGGTATTAAAATTGTTGGTCTGGGATTGGTACTGGGCAGCTAAGTGTAAGCCAATCGCAAGGGCTAAGCCCCTTTATAACTCGGGACTTTTCTTTTGACGACTGATGTCACCAGCATGCGACTTTTTGTCTTGGTTACCTGCCCAGCAACCTGACGTCTGAATCTGGGCTGTTCGTTTTGCCGTAGTGCCGCAGGTATGATTGGCTTCGTTTCCATGTCCACTCGAATGACTTTATAACTTGGGCTTATAGTAATTTTCGTGCTGTAGAATCCCCGGTGTTGCAGCAGCCTTTCACCAGTTGAGTGTTGGCCCGGCTGGCAGTAAGCAGAGCTTGGGGCCGTGACTCGGCGCTAATAAAATAAGGTAGGTTGCTATATGGTGTACCCGTTGAATAGTTAATGTGGGATACGGTTGTAAAGACATCATGTGTATTTCAGGGAGTGCTATGTGACCGGGGGTACAGCTGCGAGTCGGCGGCATCGGCGCTGAACATCTGCTGCTTTGTTTGATCATTTTTTTGGTACGTGTTGCTCATGGGCTTTCTTCGCCATATCCGGCTGCTCTTTCTCACGGGACCCGTGGCTAGCTTAAGCTAACAAGTGCCTGGCCCGTTCCATTGTGACCTGCTGGACTTAGTTGGATTTCTCATACCTTCTGTTTTTTTGTAAATGTCTGTGTATTGAGTGTTTGAGACCCTGGTATCGTGTTAATGGGGTGTTTGTATGTTCTTTTTTTTTTCTTTCTTTTCTCCAAGTAGGTTAAGTCTTTTGCTATATCTTGTCATCTGAAACTGTTGTCTGGAGGCCTTTCCCCCGCTGTTTATATCCAAGGGGATCGGCCCATGGTTATTGATATTTTTGCTTGATTTATTTTGTTTGTTTTGATTCGTCCACACCGACGGAAGACCATAAGAGTTGCTGATCCTCGTTGTGGCCTGTTTCCTTTTTTTTGTTTATCATTTGGTATAGTTTAGTACGGTTTATATTTGGTTGTATATGTTTATTGTGTGTGGATTGTTATTTAGTCATTTTTAGTGATCGTACCCTCTCTGGGTGGTTTACTAGCCCTTTGATTTATTGTAATTTGTATGTGTGAAATTGCGTAACTTTCACTTGTCTCTTGTCGTTTAGGTGCTGAGAGCTGCCAGTGGGAGCAGTGCCCCTTTGCGGTGGTGGGTCCCTTGACGTGTGCAGTGGTTGAGTGTTCACAGAGTGGCCCTCATTTATCATTCTTGCGTAGAAACGGGCGTATATGTTGGCGTAAGATTATGCTTACACTCCTCTCACCGCCTGATTTATGAAGCTGTGCGTACCTTTGAAATCCAGGTGTACGCAATACCTGCCCTTGATAAATCCCGCGGCTGAAAACGATCGTCATTAGAATAACACGCTCCTATATATTCAAGTCTCCGCTCCCCCCACGCCCTCATTTTACGCCATGGACACACGGAAGACGGCAAAGAAGAGAAACTTCTCTGACGTGGAGCCGAAATGACCTATCACAATGCATTATTTTACAGCACGTCTTTTGAAACAATTAGCATTCAATTTCGAATCACGTCACATGTATTGGGGTGTACAATAGTGATGATGATGATGTGATGTGGAGTACCATTCATTCACATTAATAATTGCATGACAATTTGTAATATTCTTCTTCTTATTATGATTTTT